TATAATATATTATATATAATTACATATTTAAACAGTAAAAACAGTAAAAAAAAAACAGTAACATGTAAATTATGTGCAAAAATATATTATTAGTTGGAACTAAGTTGGAAAAATAAATATGAAGGTCAATTAAATTATAAAATGTGAGGTAAAGCTCTCCTTTTTAAATTTTATTGGTGCATTTTTAACTGAATTTATTTATTGGTCCATTTATATATTTCTGCCTTTGTTTTTTTTCTAGTTATATCAGTGTCAGTCCTCCATACTGCAGAACTTTGTAATCCAATGTCTGATTCTGGTGTGTTGGAGCAGGGAAAAACGTAAAAACTGCAGGGCTGTGGCCCTCGAGGACCAGGATTGCCCACCCCTGCTCTAAGACTTTGCAAAAATGTCAATACTGCAAAAAAAAAAAAAAACGTTTCATCTGATTGACAGATTTCGTCAAGGATTTCCATCTGGAGTGCTTAGAAACGTTCTGATTATGTTTGAAGATCTACAACCCCCCACTTCAGCTTTGCTGTTAGGGGTCTTTGTTGCTCTGCTGCTCCTTCACCTTCTTTACTTCAGAACTTTCATCCAAGAAAAACGAGAACCTCCAGGACCCAGACCTGTTCCTCTGTTTGGTAACTTGTTTCAGGTGGATCTGAAGTGGCTTGACAAAAGCCTTTTTGAAGTGAGCAATTTTTTTATGGATTAGCGCATTATATTAAAAAAAAGAGCAATAAACAGTCTTTCATTGACAATATTCCCACTGTTTAACTTCTCTGTATTTCTAGTTATCCAAAACTTATGGACCAGTTTTCCAAGTCTACTTTGGACCAAAGCAAGTGGTGGTTCTGGCAGGATACAGGGCCGTCAAACAGGCTCTGGTGAACCAGTCCGATGAGTTTAGAACCAGAGAAATCCCTCCAATATTTTATGATTTACACAAGAGATGTGGTAATTTACTTTCAGAAATACAAGATTATATGCAAATTTTGAAATTATTAGTTTTCAAAGTATTCTGTTTCCAGGTATAGCATTTTCCAATGGAGACTCCTGGAAAGAAATGAGACGTTTTGCTCAGACAACATTGAGAGACTTTGGAATGGGCAAAAGGTTGAGTGAAGAGATGATAACCAAGGAATGTTGCTTCTTAATTGAAGAATTTGATCAATTTGAAGGTAACAATGTAATCTTTTCCTGCATACAGTAGAAACTTTCAAATTGGGCCGCTGCAACATGCAACACTAAAATGTAACCAGTGAGTGAATAACACCAACACAATGGGCAGTGGTGATTGAACGCACTGATTGAACAGAACTAGTTATCTTATCACCTGCCTTTCATGGCCTTTGTGCAGCAGATCTTTAAGTTAGCAGACACAAACCGCTTAATTTATTGAAGATCTTCAAAGAATTGTCCCTGTGTGTGTGTGCGCGCATCTGCAACTGATTACCTCTTTCTTAACCTGATTTCAAATCAGAGTCACGACTCGGCAGTAGCAAACAAAAAAGGGTCTCAGCCATTTTTACAGGTTTTCTGCTTCTTGTTGTTATAATGGTGGCTGAGCGTCATCATCACATATCAAGGGCTAACTGTGTGTTTTTTGTTAAAATGTGATGATGCATTCTATTCATGTAGCAATTACCCAAAAGTCATGGTATATGGTAGAATCATAGAAGTAATTAGTCATATTGTTTTCGTACTGTTTTTTTTATTTTTATTTTTATTTTTTTTCCAGTGATTTTTGGTCAACCGTAGCACAAAAACAGCTGCACCAATCAACATGAAATTTGGCAGGGCTGTAGATGAGTCTGACCTACATTGTGTCAGCCAACGGTTTTACAATAGACCCCACATTTGAGGAGGTGGCTCCTTTCAAAGAGGGGGTGTCTGGACATTCAAAAATGATTAGAACTCAGAAACTGTTCAACATAGAAGCTTCAGATTTCTTTTATAGTTTAGCTCTGATGAAGTTCTATCCATCAGGCCCACCAATAAGTGCTCCGCACCCCCCGGACCCCCAATTTATCTGATAAAGGGGTATCTGGACGTACAAAAAGGGTTATTGCTCAAAAACTATTAAACATAGGAGCTTCAGATTTTTTTTGTTGTTTAGCTCTGATGAAGCTCTATCCATCAGGCCCACCAATCAGTGCCCCTACACCCCCGGACCCCCTATTTATCTGAAAAAGTGGTGTCTGGACATGCAAAAATGCTTATAACTCA